TTCCCTCTCACGGTGCGGGAAGTCCACCAGAGTCATGCCCTGTCCCACACACGCGCCCTGTCGCTCATTCCTCACCTCAGGGGCCGCGGCCACGAATGGTTGCGCCGCCAGTGCCGCCACTAGTGGCATCTGGCGCCAAGTGGGCCTTCTGCGGGGTCACTGTGACGATGTCCTGGATCTGGCCTGGGCCCCCGACGGCAGCGCGTTGCTCAGCGGCGGCATCGAGAACAACTGCATCCTGTGGGATGTGGACGGGCGCAAGTCGCTGGTGAGCGGCGGATGGGTGCTCTGTGTCTACGTGCACTGCTGGCCTGACCTTCCGTAGGGTTACGGCATGTGACATGGGAAGACGGGCTCCTTGCATTTTCTGATAACATGCACGGACTACCGGCCGCCAAGGCATGCTGCACGTGTGACCACTGTTAACTGCTTAAGGTGTCGGTTAACTTGCTTTTCTACCTGCCTATACCTGCTATAGAACCTGTTCTTATCAACCTGCTGAGATGTGCACGCGTAGAGCTATATCCCTTGGGTCTTTGACAACACCTCTACTCCCATACCCATACCCCTGCAGAAGTGGCTCCAGGACCACGGCCACTACGTCCAGGGAGTGGCGTGGGACCCCCTCGGCCGCTACATCGCCACTCAGTCGGCCGACCGCACCGCCCGGGTGTACTCCGTGAAGCCGCCGCCGCAGTCGGCGGCGGCAGCGGCTGGTGAGGGAGGTAAGTCCCGTATGCGTGCGAATGTGTGTGCAGCAGCAGGGAGCGGGGCAGCAGCAGCTGACCGGAGATAACTCCCAATGTTTGGGAGTGTAACGAGAGCTAGGTGGATGGATATCGCAGGGGCGAAGCGTGCCGGGGCGGCAGCGTCTGTTGTGACGTCGGCGTCCCTAGCTCGGGACGGCTTCTACGCGGCCGCCACGCTGGCTAAGGGGCCGCTGCCAGTTGTGCCTCAGCAACAACCGGCGGCAGCGGGTGCTATTGCAGCGGCAGCGGGTGGCGTGACGATGGGAGGAGACGTGCAGGGCGAGATGCCGGCCACTACTGCTGCTGCTGCTACTGCTGCTCAAACCACAGGTGGGTCCCTGTGCAGAAGTGGCGCAGGGAGGGTTGCCGTGAAACGGTGTGCGGTTCGCGGGATGGGAGGCAGCTGGAGGACTGGGGGGAGGTGGGTAAGTGACAGTTCGTCATGTCACCTCGTGGGAGGGGCGTACTAGTAGGGGTTTTCCTCCCGAGTTTGGTCACCCCGGTGGAGGAGCGCTGCGGGGGCCCTCAGTGTGCCAACCTGTGGTTGCGCAGTATTGGCTAGGCGAGACGCCTTTACACCTCCCATGAGAACGCTATGTGGACTAGGACCGAGTGGCAGTGCGTGGTGGACATATGGTCGCATTGCCCGCATTGCATGGGCTTGTTGCACTTATATGTGTACAACGTGCAGTGTACAATGCGTTGCCGTTTGTGTAGTACCCAAACCTTGTCATCAATGTATTTCGTTGCGTCCAGTGACTGCGTCTATTGCTGTATGGAGGCCTAGGAAGCGTCGGGCTTCATTTGCATGTGGGCCAAACCTCCAATCGACAACCTGTGTCGTCTCTGGCTGTTCCCACAGTCACTGCTCACTCAGTAGCCAGCAATATTGCCTTTGGCATACGAAAACCAAGTTACGTGAGTTTTACTAAATGAGGTGGTGGATCTCCGTTTCGAGCGTGCAATATCACGCCATGTTCTGAGTGGTATCGCCGTTGGTGCTGTTTGCTTGGCTGCTGCTGCAGCTGGGACCGCTAAGCAGCCCCTCTTCAGCGACGACTCGCTGCCCACCTTCTTCCGCCGCCTGGCCTGGTCACCGGACGGGGCATTCCTGGCGGCGCCTGCGGGCGTCTACAGGTGCGTCGGGAACAAGCTGTGCCGTACTCATAGCTCGGTGATACAATCGAGTATTCGTGCGGTCCCCAGACCGGGTCATCACACTTGGGTGCTTTGCTGTGACATACCTGGTAGGGGGGGCAGTAGGCAAGTGGGAACCACGGGGTCCGTCCGGTGATTAATACCTTACACAGGGATGTGCAAGTTAGTTTCTGCTTAGGATTTCTTGCCCGCGTTTTCCGTGGAGATGGCGTCTAGGCTGCCCCTCTCGGGCTGTAGCCACAGATAGGCGCGCGCCCCGGTAGGATGCCTACCCGGCCCTACGAACGCGTAGGGGGGTTAAGAACGTTCTTAAGTCATTCTTAGCCCAGCCAAATTGATAAAATTGAATAATCATTAGAACGTTCTTACACTGTTCTAAGAACGTTCTAAGAACGTTCGTATGACCTCCGTTTATCTTAAAACCGTTCTTTGAAATTCTTAAGCATTCTTCAGGGCCCAGCAATCTTACGTATTCTCTTCCATTCTTTGGGGTGTTCTTATACGTTCTTAGGCCAACTTATTGATTGTTTGTCTAAAGCATACTTAGCTGCTCTTTGGCCGGTTTTAACCGTTCTTACCATAGGTTTGCTAAGTATGGCACTCATTCTTAAGTCATATTCTCAGGAAATTCTTTTTGCTGCTTAAATTCTTAAGCCTTAAAAATGTGGGATTCTTAAGGGGTGGTCATGATGAAAAAGCCATTCAGTCATATGTATTGACCTCTGCTTTCTCACTTATACATCTATTGATAGGCGCCCTTTCCTGGTATCCGCAGACATCTCAGGAATTCTGACATTGAATTTCAAATTTACTTCGCTAGAATCGAACCTAAGACTACGAATTTTTTGAGCTGACTTCTATCACTAAACCTATGCTTTAAGAAAAAACACCTCAAGATGCCAAAAGCTGTCGCAAGATACCTAAGTTCTTCATTTATGCTAAAACGTGTGCGTGTACTGTGAGCTGCGCCGAGTGCCGTACACGAACATATGTGCGTGTACGACAAACAACTCAACACCTGTTCAGCAACTCAACTATCAGCCCTGGCCCCTGTACACAAAACTGGCGTGCAGCCTGACATGGCCACATACCTGCTGCAGCCCACTGCCCAACACCATCCCTGGCTGCTGCAGCTGCATGAAAAACAAGAGGCGCCCCGAGGCCACTGCCATGTTTAGCTGAATCCAAATGGAAGCATCCTTGCTTGCCATGGAGAGGCTGGCCGACTCATGTGTTTTCTACAAGCCCCCACAAGAAGAGTTTGGGGCTACTGAAACTGTAGCAGTCGCTCACCTGGGTGGACGACTGGCTTTGCAGAAGCGTGGAATTTAGAGTCCTCGCTGAGGCAGGAAGAAGTCCAACCCAGCGACAAGCACAAGCATACATAGACCCGTATGAAACAATCTGAGATGGCGGCAGCGGAGTCTTGAACTCTGAACACCAAGTAGTCGTGATACTTTAGTGCCTCACCATAGCACCCCGCCCAGGTAGCTTACATCTCGGCCTACCTGCCGGAGATTCCCTACTACGTTCCTGCCGTGCTAGGATACTGTCGGTGTATCCTCCGGTGGCAGGGTGGTACAGGAGGGTACCCTCTGGTGGCAGGGTGGTACAGGAGGGTATCCTCCGGTGGCAGGTTGGTACAGGAGGGTACCCTCCGGTGGCAGGTTGGTACAGGAGGGTACCCTCCGGTGGCAAGGTGGTACAGGAGGGTATCCTCCGGTGGCAAGAAGGTAAAAGAGGGTATCCGCCGGTGGCAGGGTGGTACAGGAGGGTATCCTCCGGTGGCAGGGTGGTACAGGAGGGTATCCTCCGGTGGCAGGGTGGTACAGGAGGGTACACTCCGGTGGCAGGGTGGTACAGGAGGGTACCCTCCGGTGGCAAGGTGGTACAGGAGGGTATCCTCCGGTGGCAGGGTGGTACAGGAGGGTATCCTCCGGTGGCAGGGTGGTACAGGAGGGTATCCTCCGGTGGCAGGGTGGTACAGGAGGGTATCCTCCGGTGGCAGGGTGGTACAGGAGGGTACCCTCCGGTGGCAGGTTGGTACAGGAGGGTATCCCCGGTGGCAAGGTGATACAGGGGGGTACCCGCCGGTGGCAAGGTGGTACAGGAGGGTATCCTCCGGTGGCAAGAAGGTAAAAGAGGGTACCCGCCGGTGGCAGGGTGGTACAGGAGGGTATCCTCCGGTGGCAGGGTGGTACAGGAGGGTATCCTCCGGTGGCAGGGTGGTACAGGAGGGTACACTCCGGTGGCAGGGTGGTACAGGAGGGTACCCTCCGGTGGCAAGGTGGTACAGGAGGGTATCCTCCGGTGGCAGGGTGGTACAGGAGGGTATCCTCCGGTGGCAGGATGGTACAGGAGGGTATCCTCCGGTGGCAGGGTGGTACAGGAGGGTATCCTCCGGTGGCAGGGTGGTACAGGAGGGTACCCTCCGGTGGCAGGTTGGTACAGGAGGGTACCCCCGGTGGCAGGGTGGTACAGGAGGGTACCCTCCGGTGGCAAGGTGGTACAGGAGGGTATCCTCCGGTGGCAGGGTGGTACAGGAGGGTATCCTCCGGTGGCAGGGTGGTACAGGAGGGTACCCTCCGGTGGCAAGGTGGTACAGGAGGGTATCCTCC